AGCGCATGTTGTGTTTTAATGAATGAGAGAACAGGAGGAGAGAAGATCATTCTTCAGGATGTCTTCTGACTTTTACATTTATCTTTTTTAAGCGTCACAACAACTCCATTAGTGCAGGAATGTACTTGGCTGTTTGCTCTCCGCTCTCGGAGACCTTCCATCTCAGGACCAACTGCACAGCATGTGACATTTCACTCCATTGAGGAAGTCACTTTGCATCATAAAGATGTTGCCAGGCAACACCCCCGCTGTCCAGATTTGTCTCCTCGGGGTGTGTGAAGACAGGGGCACGTCAGATTTTAGCCAGCAGAAATGATGATGGAGGAGGCGTGTCATCAAGTTCTGGAGGAAAACTTTTCTCTTTTTCTTTGCCAAAGTCAGAACCGACATTAATCACACTTGATTTTCTGTTTGGTTACAGATGAAAACCCCACTTCAAGGGGGCGTTAGCATAAAGCAGCCTGTGGTCGTTTTAGCGGTTCTTGTGGCCCGGTGGTCGTGCGTGTGGTTGATCCCTGATATAAGACGGATGGACGTTGGCTCCACCCTGTGTGGGATTGTTTTAAAATCAGAACAGAGTGTTGATTTGGCCAGTTATTGAATCTAACAGTTACAGAACAGACAGACACTCCACAGTGACCTCTCTGGTCAGACTGTGGTTTAACACATTACTTAAAGTGTGTGTGTTTGTTTAAAAAGAAATAATTAAAAAATGCAGGATAAGCAGACAAACTCAGATTTTGGTAAAAAAAAAAGAAAATAAATAATAATAATAATAATACTTATTTTATTGTAAATTTATTGTTACATTATAATCAATTTTTATAAAAAAAAGTATTTTCTTTTTTGAGGAAGAGGAAAAAGAGACGGGAAAGCCCAGTGCACCATGGGAGTTCCCACAGCAGTCAACGCCTGTAGCAGTGTTAACTGAGTTGTATGAACTTTGTGAAATGATTTTCTATCTATTCGTAAAAGTCAGTGTCAGTCCTCAGTCCTCAGTCCTCAGTCTTCAGTCCTCAGTCCTCAGTCCTCAGTCCTCAGTCCCCAGTCCCCAGTCCTCAGTCCTCGGTCTTCAGTCTTCAGTCCTCAGTCCTCAGTCTTCAGTCCTCAGGTGAATCGTCTCCTCCGTGTCCTCTTCATGTTTTACATCATGTGAATCACTGAGGTGGAACGATAGCTCCTCCCACTGGAGGTATCCCACAGAGGAGCCCCCTTTCCCCCCCCCCGGGCCGGGGGGGGGGGGGGGGTGCCCAGGGTGGGGGGGGGGGGCATCTTTCGATTGAAATGTGGCTTTCAAGATGGTGGGGGGCTGTGGAGAATGGCAATGACCGCTGCCTTTGTTTTTGCCTCTGTTTCCTTTGGGACCGGGGGGGCAGTGAATGATGCGGCCCTGAGGAAAGTGCCCCCCCAACCCCTCCACCTCTCTCCTTCTGTTCTCCACTGACGACAGAAAAGTGGAGCAGGAGAGGAGCGAGGGAAGGCTAAAGAAATGCCCGGAGAACTATTGACTTGGGCTTTGTACACAGATGCTTCACTCCAGGGCCAACCCCTCATGTTGCCATGGTTCTCCCAGTCAATCTTACACCATATCCCTGCTCCTCTGCTGCTGCTGCTGCTGCTGCTGCTGCTGCTCCGGCACAGTTCCTGTCACTCTCTGGGACGGGGAACTCATATTCCCATAATCCCCTGTTGTGGCGAACGAGGGCAGTGTTTAACTGGCCGTCCTGAACAAATATGTGCCTTCCAATCAGCGTGACAGGGCCGGGGTTTTTTGTGCCACAGAAACCTGACGTCCTGACAGACGGTCATTATTTCAGAGTCAACAGCCGTGACTGATGACAGCAGAGGTCAGCGCAGGGAGCGTCCAATCTGGAGCGCTGCCTGTTTCTGAGCTTTCACAGCAAAGAGGAGACAAGGGGAAAGAGCATGTTAGATGATTTCACCTTTTGGCAATTCACACGGCATGTTTGTTTGAGTCATCATCGACAAATTTGAAACAAATTGGCGAGAGAAAAAAAAAAGGTCTCGTCTCTGTCTCCGTCTACTTAGCATTTCAGTACCGAGCGGCGAGGTGTTTCACGGTCAAGGGAAAGTGTTTTGACTTCCTGTGGGAAAAGTGCTTGATTACAGAGGCACGGCGTGATTGAGGAGAAACAATTTGAGACGCTTGGACGTTTGGAATGTGTGTTTACGGCTCCACGCTGCCGCTGACATTCTGCGAAAACGCCATCAGTTAAACGCTTATTTTCCTGAAAACGCTTAATCGTGTCGGCTGAATAAACATTTTTCAAAGGCGGTGGGCAAATCTGGACACAGTTTGGAGTGATTCAGCTTGGCACCGGGATTTTTTTTCTTTTTTTCCTCTCAGTTGTCCAGTAGCTGCGAAAGAAATACAAATCTGCTCGGCCAATAAAGTTACAAAAATTAACAGTTTCATGATCAACTTCTGTGATGACTTTTTCATCTTTTTATTATTATTTTTAACATCATTCTCCCGTTAAAACCAATTACCCATAAGGCATAGAGACGGTGAACACTCTCAGATGTTTCATTGTTGACCAGTGAAACACGGCTCAGTTGGTGACACTGATTCAACACAAAGGATTCCAGCTGCCAATAAAACTTAAGGGAGAGATAGTGAGTGAGTGGGTGGGGGAGGGGCGGGGTCACAGGAAGTCACCTACGTTTAGTAGCTGGATAAATTCCCTTTTTGCAGAACTGTACAAATATTTAAGGTGGAAATGCAGATGCTAATTTTTTATTTGTGTTTTTGTATCAAATGGAACTTAAAAAAAGAGGAGACGCAGGTGTGTGAATCTCTTCGTAGCAAGTGAAGGGAAAATAATGAATTCCAACACGGCCTCCGGACATACATGCCCTCACTTTTAAGTAAAACAGTTCCACCAGAGGTCTGTCGTCCGTCTGTGGCTCAGTGATTTCAGCTGCCTGTTTAACTAAGGGATCAGACAACAAAGGCAGCGTCCGTCGCTGCAGCAGAGCAATCAGGAAACTTTAATGACTTAAGCCGGTTCCAGCCTGTGGCGACTGAACTGTTTTCTTTTCACCTCACTCAGAGAAAAACTCACAGCTTTAGGCGGGTTTCAAACCCATCAAACATGAGACCCCTTCTTAGTTTCAGCTGCGCAGAAGACGAGAAAAAATTCCGGCTAAATCCTAGCCGACCAGCTGACGGCTCACCTGCCCGCCCCCGGCCTGCGGGGGGGGGGTCAGTGTGTCAGTGGTCCACTCGCTGCCCGCGACACCGGCCTGAACCCACACTTAGGGTTAATATGAGACCTACGTGACCCCAGACAAAGTGGACGGTCTCCAAAAGAGGTTGCGACCTTTTATTGACGGGATCATCATTCTCTCCCCCGCAGGCCCCTCCCCCTTTTGTTGCTTCGCCTATTGATTTCTCACACACTGAAAAAGATCCTTTGTCGGCGAGGATGACGTCCTGCAGAGAGCAAGGCCTTCGCTCTCTGTGTGTGTGTGTGTGGGGAGGGGGGCAGTGTGGGGGGGGGGGGTTACAGCAGCTCGCCTGCTGCCGCCTTTAGCTGTTATGATTTGAATTATTAACTCTAAGCTAGAGCTGAACTGGGGATGAACCATGAGTGGGTATTTGAATAGTACCATGGTAGTACACGGAGTTACTCCCTACTACTGTGGAGTTCAATGTTTATCAATAAAACTCTGACTATTATATGTGAGACTATTTTAATAAAACTAAGCCAAAATAAATGACTTCAGACTCAGACTTCACCACTTCCTGTTTCTCCTCAGCCAATCCTGAACCAGGCCGGTCTGCCACAGGGCCCCTCTGACCAGAAGGTGGTCACGGTGACCGTTGACAACTGTGACACTTCTGTGGCTCTGAGGTTTGGTCACATGATCGGAAACTACACCTGCTCCGCTCAGGGCAGCCAATCAGGATCTAAGAAGTGAGTACACTGACAAAGTCCTGAGTGCTGAGTCGTACAGCTGCTGTTTGTAATCAGTGGTTAATTAAAGCATCTCAGATATCCTGGTCAGTAAGGAGTGTGTAACTGTTGGCTCTGTGGTCTCAGGTCTCTGGACCTCACTGGTCCCCTGCTCCTTGGAGGAGTCCCCAAACTCCCTGAGGATTTTCCGGTTCGCAACCGGGAGTTTGTGGGCTGCATGAAGAACCTGCGGATCGACAACCAGCACATCGACATGGCCGGCTTCATCGCCAACAATGGAACTGTGCCCGGTACGTCCTGTGGCGCTCCGTCTCTCAGCTTCACATTTACATACTTTCATAATACTTTCATACTTTTATATGTTGAAGTCTGAACAGATCCCACAGACACAGACGTCATCATCCTTGTTTTCGTGTTTTCCCAGGATGTTCTGCTAAGAGACACTTCTGCAACAACGACCCGTGTCTGAACGGAGGGACGTGTGTGAACCTGTGGGGCTCCTTCAGCTGTAACTGCCCGCTTGGATTCGGAGGAAGAAACTGTGAAAGAGGTAAATAAGTCCAACGGAAAAGTTCCGACCCTCGAGGTCGTCGTGCATGAAATCAGGCCCGAAAGTCATTTCTGGGCCGGAGATCTTCGTTGACGTGATGATTGTTGTGGTCAGTTTCTCTGTCTCTGTTTTCTGACCTCTACATGAAGTGAACAGTGTTTGGAACCGTTGCCCTCTGACCCCTGAAGACACACAGTACACGTCTCATGTTTCCGTCCTTGCGTTCTCCCGTGTCTGTTTTTGTTCCACCTGACCCTCCGCAGCTGTTTTCCTCCTGATGATTTATGGTTTACAGCAACTCGAGCAGAGACGGAGGAAGGAAGTTGAGCCGTTCAAAAAGACAGACGAAAAAAAAACACCTTTGTTTTGAGCGTGAAGTAAAGGGAGCAAAAAAAAAAAAGATTTATGGAAGAGAGTGTGTTTTTTCACGCACATCAAGCATGAAGTTTAGAGGATTAGAAGTTACTGCGCGGGGAAGTGAGGACGGATATTTAAAAAAGAACAGGTGCACATTTGGAAAAGGCTGTTAGAGTTGACAAGTAGAACAGAGAAGTACATTGTTGTGTGATCACATGATCACTGAAGATGAATTATTGACCGCTGATAAGAAGAAGTGTCCGTGTCCACGTTTACTCCAGGGCTTCAAACACCGACATTAAAAGTACTTTGTAGAATAAATGAAGAAAAAACAAAATTCTTCACACACCTGTTCAACAGCTCTGTCCTGTGACCTCGACAGCAGTGAAGCAGTGAGAGAGAAATGGCTGCCAGTAAATTGGCAGGTGCATGCGCTATAAAGTCTTTTTCTTTTGTGCCTTTGTGCTGTAAGGTATTTTTTTGGCAGTTTGGCAAAATGCAGGCCAACCATACACATACAGTTTATTTTAATATTTATATATTATTTCCTTCAGTCACGACCGACTCACTCACTGTTTCATGTTATGTTCGGTCCAACACGTCCTCAGACGGACTTTTCCAAACAAAGCTTTTAGTGTCAGACTGTGTTCAGATATTATTCTGCTCAGTGAAGCTGAAGAACCACAGAGAACCGAGACAGAACAGGTCTTTAATCACATGTCTTTTGAGTTATTACCTTCCTGGCCTTGTATGTTGACCATTTCAGTGTGTGAGTGTGTGTTTCTGGTATAGCTACACTTGTGGGGACAGTGTTTTGGAGGAGAAAAAATAAACTATTGTTGCAGGGACCTATGTCCTCGTGGGGGACATTTCACATGTCCTAACCTCAAAAGATCTGCTCTCCCAGTGTCCCCACAGTTTGAAGACACTGTTAGAAAATAATGTCCAGGATCTAGAACTGATGTGGTTTGTCTTTTTATTTCATCCATCTCTTCTCCTGCAGTCATGTCCAGCCCACAGCGTTTCCTGGGCAACAGCTTGTTGCAGTGGAACAACCTGGCGACAGCGGAGGCCTCCGTCCCCTGGCATGTTGAGCTTATGTTCCGCACACGTCAGGCCAGCGCCACGCTGTTACACATCTCCTCCAGCCTGCAGCACAACCTCACACTACAGGTGAGCACATGAAATACACTCATACACACTTGGACACACACTCTGGACCGGTCCTGCTGATGTGAGTTTTATCATTTAACTGTTTACTTTGTGGACAATTTTACAAACTGTTTTTTGAATTACAGTCCTCTGAGACACAAGTTGCAAAAAGGCAAGAATATAATAAAAAATGTACAAAAACACATATGGTTAAAATATATTAAAACACTATTATTATTATTATTATTATTATTATTATTATTATTATTATTTTGAGTAACAGGAAAATTAATAGTAGATTTTATTTACAGATAACGTTTCTCACCTGTAAGTCCATAGAATGACTACACAGCTCCCCCTTCTGGCCAATTGAGTTCCAGATTCACCTTTTTGTTTTTCACTGTTATTCCTGTGCACATGGTGTAAGAAGTCGTAATAGTTACTCTGTTTTGTAAAAGAAAATGCAATAAACAGTATAGGGCAACAAAATATATGTTTGGATGCAAATTTTCCCCAAGGAAACTCCTGAGGGATTCAAAACGTAATTTTCCCCAAGGAAACTCCTGAGGGAGTCAAAAAGTTCTGTCTGTCTGTCTGTCTGTCATCTATCTTAAAGTATTTTCTTTATCCCATTAGGGATTTTATTTGAGAAAAAAAACAGTTTTTGTTTTTTTGTCATTCAGTGTCTTTATCAGGGAGACGAGAATGAAGTGGATTGTCAAACTTTATTAACGCTCCTCTCTCTGATGTTAGCTACATTTATCAGATTTTGTTTTCTTTTCCCACTGAGTAACACGATGTGATGAATCCTTTTTGACCATGACTATCGGAGCGCTCTTTCTTTTCATCCCTGCTGCAGCACTGTTTTCCCCTGTATCGTCTGTTTCCCTCCGTCACTGAGCATCGGTTTAATCTCCCTCCTGCTGTTTCTTCCTCTTTTTATTCTCCGCTGCTGTAGCTGCGCGGGGGCAGCGTGTTGATGGGGCTGCACCGAGGAGAAGACTCCACTCTCTCCCGTGTTGAAGAGGTTCTGGTGAACGACGGCGACTGGCATCACCTGCAGTTGGACATCAGCAGCTTAGGAGGCGCAGGGGGCAACCACAAGGCGGTGCTGTCCGTAGACCAGGGGCTCTACCAGGTGAACTGTTATTTGACGTCTCAGAATTTCTGTTCTGACAAACAGACAAACATTAACATGTGCAAAACAAATGACCAGGCGAGTATGGAGGTGGACGGAGAGCTGCAGGACTCCAAACTGAAAACTGTGAGCCTCGGTGGTTTGGCAAGGCCTGATGGGAAAGTTCTGCATGGCTTTCGTGGCTGCATTCAGGTTTGTTTTGTTAATACAGACCTGACACAAACAGGAGCAGCAGTTCCTCTTTCCTTTTGTTGAACTCACCCGTGTGGTGTGCGTTCCTTCAGGGTCTCCGTGTCGGTGGAGCTCTGAGTCTGTCTCAGGCCAGGAAGGTCAACGTGGAGCCGGGCTGCAGCGTTCCCGACCCCTGCAGCTCCAGTCCGTGTCCTGTCAACAGTTACTGCAGTGACGACTGGGACAGTTACTCCTGCACCTGCCTCAGCGGTCGGTCCATGTCACAGACACAGTTTGTTATGTAACATGACAACTTCCTGCCTATTTTCACTCTTCTTTTCCTTTATTTCACAGGTTACTATGGCAACAACTGCACTGACGCGTGCGCCTTAAACCCCTGTGAACACGAGTCCAAGTGCTCCAGGAGGTTGAGCTCCTCTCACGGTTACAGCTGTGACTGTCCCAGCAGTTACTTTGGACATTACTGCGAGAAAAAGTACAGTTTTTTTTAATCTGTTTTCTACCTCGACGTCTGTGCTGTTTTTGAAGTTTCTGTGAAGAGACTGAACAGGTGCTGATTTTCTCCACAGGACTGACTTACCCTGCCCCAGAGGCTGGTGGGGCCACAAGACCTGTGGACCCTGTAACTGTCAAACCCACAAAGGCTTTGACTCTGACTGTAACAAAACCAGCGGAGAGTGTCGCTGCAAGGTGAGAAAAATAAATAAATTAAGTCCATGTTTCACCTGTTGGTCTGTTGTGGGACTACAGGCAGGTTTTTTACTTTACTTTTAAGTTGTAAAGCATTGTTGATGCCACATCACACCTCCTGCTGGACAAGGAAGGAACTGTTATAAAAGTAATATTTAATTATTTCTAGTAATGTAATCAAGTAACCAATAGGGGGCATACATACTCATCTCACCCCTTTTTTTTCAGGACAACCACTATCGCCCCGAGGACAGCGACACCTGCCTGCTCTGTGACTGTTACCCCATCGGCTCCTTCTCCCGAGCGTGCGATCGCGAAAGCGGCCAGTGTCAGTGTAAACCCGGCGTGATCGGCCGCCAGTGCGACCGCTGCGACAACCCTTTCGCTGAGGTTTCTGCCAGCGGCTGTGAAGGTCAGAATACATGTTTCAACGGTCGAACACCTCAACGCAGGATTTATGATCCTTTTTTTAATTATTAACAACTAAATGTATTGACATAAGTTTCCATTTTTACCGTCTCTCTTCCGCCCCCTCTGGTGGTCCCAGTTATCTATGACAGCTGCCCCCAGGCCATCGAGGCCGGGATCTGGTGGCCCAGGACTAAGTTTGGCCTCCCTGCAGCGGTTTCCTGTCCCAGAGGAACACTAGGTATGACGGCTCTTCAGCAGCTCGCCCAATTACCATAAAATAATGGCAAAATATGACACTAGCCTGAAGCTGTGTGCAGGTGACAGCTGCTTCTGCTGCCTGACATCCAGGTGAAACCTCTCCTCTCTCTCTCCCCCTCTCTCCCTCTCTACCTCTCTCCCAAACACACACACACACACACCTACCCACGTTTCCTCTTCCCAGGCACAGCCGTACGACACTGTGATGAGCACAAGGGCTGGCTGCCTCCCAATCTCTTCAACTGCACCTCGGTTACCTTCAGCTCGCTGAAAGCCCTGGTGTGTATCACCCACTCTCTGCCACTCTCAGAAATGTAACGCCACTGTTTCCAGCAGTATAATTCCTCTGTGGAAAGATGTGGAGCCCGTGTTTTATTATAACCGTGCGGCCTCGCAGCTATTTGTGACGACAAATTGGTGTTTTTGTGCTAAATGCTAGTGGCTAAGCTGTCACATTCCTCCTAACAGGAACTAAAGTTTTTTAGGTTTTGTGTTAAGTCTCAACAGAGTTTACATTTTATGCCAATTATGTCTGAACAGAAAATCAATATAAGGTTGATGGAAATAATTTACCATGTTTTTAGGAATTATTCAATTATTCAACAATTCTTGATAACTATACAGAAAAATATATAATATAATATAATATAATATAATATAATATAATATAATATAATATAATATATGCGTGTCCCTTACATCCACCAGGTTAGAGGTTTTAATGGATATTATTATTTTACTGGCTAACTGATTGGCTAATGTAATACAGCGCAGAGCTCTGTTGTTTGGTGGTGCTGTACACCTCTTAAGACTGTATACCAATACGTTTTATTAACATGTTTATCAAACTTAAAAATGACACATTTAAAAGCTGTCAAACTCACTTTCTGTATAAAATAATGTCAAATTATATTATAGTGTGACACAAATATTCATTTGATCATTAAAACCTTCAATCCCCTCTGAGACCCAGCTAAAAATAAACTGTTCCACTAACCTCTTTCTATGGAATATTACTGCCACCTACTGGGTAAACTGTGAATGTCATCTATTTAGAAATCCTAACCTGATGATGGTGTTTTTTTTTTGTTTTTTTTTTCTTTTACTCTCTCCAGTCAGAGAAGTTGTCCCGCAACGCCTCACTCCTGGACTCTGGACAGGTCCAGCAGACGGCCGCCATGTTGGCCAACGCCACCCAGCACACCAGGACATACTTTGGCAGTGACGTCAAGGTGGCCTACAGACTGACACAGAGCCTGCTGCAGCATGAGAGCGACCAGCAGGGGTTCAACCTCACAGCTACACAGGACGTCCACTTCACGGAGGTGAACACACACACACACACACACACACTTCATCATATCAAACATCATAATCACTCCGCTCCTGCACCAGTCTGAACTGGTCTGTTGACAGAAGGTCGGTGGTTCTGTTGGAACGTGGCGGACCTTCCTGCTGTATCTGCAGGGGTCGTGTCACAAATCGTTTCACGCTCCGCTGGGACGTTCTGTCCCCCTGAACTCACTCAGTCGTCTCTCCACAGAATCTGGTCCGTGTGGGCAGCGCCATCCTCGCTCCAGACACGCGGCCACACTGGGAGCTCATCCAGAACTCCGAGGGCGGCACAGCCGCGCTGCTGCGACACTTTGAGGAGTACGCGAATACGCTGGCGCAGAACATGAGGAAGACCTACCTCAGCCCCTTCACCATCGTCACGCCAAACATCGGTAAACGGTCGTTCAGTCAGTTTGTCAGTGAATGAATGAATGAATAACTGACATGTAATTATGTTCTGGTTATGTTATGTTCTTTTGTTTTTTTTTCTATTATTTTTTAATTTATTTTTTATTTTTATACCTATATCGTATATATATATATAAGTATATATATGTACATAAAATAATGAATTAAAAATTATTTTTTATTTAGTTTATTGGTTCCTACAAGTTAACAGAAATGCAGTCCAGGAAAAACTAATGTCTAATATTAATGAATCTTTTTGCTGTTGCCTCCTCATCTCCAGTCATCTCCGTGGACCGTCTGAAGAAAATGAATTTTGCCGGAGCGAAGCTCCCTCGGTACCAGTCCCTTCGAGGCCCCCGCCCCGTGGATCAAGAGGCGGCCGTCCCCATGC